TGCAGCGGGTAAGCACTGGGCTGCTAACGGAAGGAGAGCTTGGCGGGTCGAACCCACCCAGCCGCTCCAAGGGAGAGAGCCCTGGGGCTTTGCTTCTTACAGCCAAGAAAACCCTAAACCCAACCCAACCCAACCCAACCCAACCCAACCCACTGCCATCAAGTCAATTCAGACTCATGGCGACGCCATTGGACAGAGAGCAACTGTAATCTTGACCGAAGCCGACTGCCTCAGCTCCCTTCCACGGAGCAGTGGGTTAGAACGCTGCCTTTTGGTTAACAATTGCTTTAACCCCAGCATAACCAGAGCTCCTTAAGAAAATCTTATGGGAAAGGTTTCTATATGGAAGGGAGCTTTCTTTGTTGGTTACCAGGGTGGGAGGGGAGGGAGGGAACGCTACTAGATTTGTGGTGGTTGTTATGTGCCGTTGAGTCGGACCCAACTCACAGAGACCCCTCCTTGGGTTTCCGAGGCAGTATCACTACGAAAGGAGATTGCCTCATCTTCCTTCTGAGGAGTTGCTGGTGGGTTTGAACCACCAGCCTTCTGGTTAGCAGTCAAGTGCCTTAGCCACTATGTCACCAGAGCTCGTAGAGAGGCAGAGACAAGTGCTGATTTGGGTGAAGGGAAGGGCAATGTACCAAAAGTGAGTGATCAACACGGTGGCATTGAGGAAGAGGAAGAGTGGTGCGTGGGAGGTACAGACAACAAAGACGAACGCTTTTGCAGAACTGTACTCTCAGTGATGGCAAACATTGATCTATGGGTGAGAGAGGGATGGACAGGCTGAACGATCAGGCATGTCTAGGCAGGGGCAAGTGTGCCCATGACCATGTATAGGGTTGGCAGATGATGCCTCTCCAAGCATATTTCTATGAGCTGTAAGAATGTCCAAGTGTATAACAGAGAAGACAAAGGACAGGGTTGTGGTGACCTGTTGGTTACAGCCAGCTACCCAGAGGGAGCGAGTAGGTGGACCTGTGGGCTTGGGACCATAGTCACAGGGGACATCAA